CTCTCTCTCTCTCTCTCTCTCTCTCTCTCTCTCTCTGTCTCTCTCTCTCTCTCTCTCTCTCTCTCTCTCTCTCTCTCTCTCTCTCTCTCTCTCTCTCTCTCTCTCTCTCTCTCTCTCTCTCCCTCTCTCTCTCTCCCCTCCCTACCCCCACTCTTTGTTCCCTCTATCCCTCCATTTTGCATGTGGATGTATACCATAAATGAGGGTGCTTGTAAATACACAAGCTTATGGAAAGAGGGAGAAGGGAAGAGGACAGAATTTGGATTCAAAGAACCTGGGTTCAAATCTCAGCATTGCTAGTCCTATAAGTCACTCCCCCGTCTTAGGATTAAGGTTTCTCAAACATAAAATGGGGGGGGGTTGGATTAGATCCCTTCCAGCTCTCAATCTATGATATATGAATAGGAACCGATGAATCTCAAGGGAAAGGGAACGAATTTTCCTCTTTCGATGACTTCTTGAACAGAATAACTGGATATAGGTTACCATCAGCCATAGACGCCACCTATGATGTCATTGACAGTCTTCCAAAACAATGACCATCGCCTATAAAAATCACCTGGGGAAAAGCAAACAAAACAACAACAACAAACAATCTTAAGAGAGTGTCAAGAATCATGGCAGGCTGGTGGAAGCAAAATCTTCTCGGGCTGCATTTTCTAACAGACGGAAACGCTTCTGCCTGTAGGAAAACAACTTCTGCTCTGACCACAGGGCTGGTTTGCATCCACAAGTAAACAGAAGCCAATGTTTTCTTCTAATTACTTTGATCCTTCTAGAATTACTGTGTGTTGGCAGGAAATATTTTATTAAATGAAAAACTCCATAAGAACAGGAGAGGAAGAAACAGCATGACTTCCACTTTCCACGTTTGAATGTAACCCGGTGTTCCTAATTCAGAAAAGCCAGAAAGTTGCAAAACTGATCTTTGAGGTTACTTCTGCCTTAGAGAAATAAATGCTTTTGAACTTGTTTAAAACTATTTGTCTGCAATTAGGCAAAATGTTATCTCAAGGATTTCTTGTAACTCTATTTTTTGCATAAGAATAGGCTGATTTATGTGACTCTTTTCTTTTTCCATCTTCATTGATGACCTCAAGAATTCCACGAAGGCAGAGACCATTTCTTATACAAACTTTATATCTCCCTTGGCTCTGAGCAGAGGACATGGAGCACAGGAGAAAACTTTCTAAATGTTGTCAGTTCACTTTGTATTTATTGTATTCCTTACATCATTACATAAAAAAAAAGTCAAGTCGTTTCTTTGGCCTGTGGCCATCCCAAAGGACGTTTGGCCCAATCGTTTTATGTAGTTTCCATTAACACACAATAAATACGGAAAATCCTTAGATGATTTGATCCCTTCCTGAATATATTATTGAAGAGCAAATAGTATCTCCAGAGACAATTGGGTTGACTAATGTGGCTAAAGTCAGATGCCATCAGAAGAAAAAGAAAAGGTGGAAAAAGTCTCAAGTTCAAATAACTGCTTCAGTTCCTCAGTCTATGACAGTGAAGTCATTCTTCTGGACTCCCCTTTGGGTCCATTTATAATACATTGAAAATAGTCTAAATTCATTAATTAACTTGGCTAACATGAGATCAATAAGATCATTCACTTTCATGAAATCTTGTCAAACATGAGGTCCAGATCCTTAATTTCTCTCACAGTGAAGAGAATTAAGGGATGGTCGAGTGAATGAGCATGGTGTGGGTGTCTCAAAGAGTCTAACATCTGTCTAAATGCCAAATCAAGTCTGAAGACACCAAGGCAAAGCACTATCCACTATCCACTATCCACTATCTTGTCATTCAACAAAATCTTTTCTCTCTTGAATGATATTTTAAAATACCCATCTGCATTTATACTTTTAAAGAGAAATAGCATTCTTTTTATGCTGTCCCAACATAAAGCCCAGCATAATTGGGGACACTGAGCTCAGGATTAGAAAAGGGCTTCTGATAAGATCCTACCCAGATACCTCATCATAGTGCAGAAAGAACCCTGGCTCTGCTAGATGGGCAGAGCATCCGTCAAGTTCTCCATAGCTGGAAAGACCTAGAGTTCCTTTTGGAAATGTATTGGGATTCCTCAATTTGGAAAACTATCCTAGCTACATTTAGAGAAGCTCATTATCAGAAGCTTGGAGACCAAGAGATGAAATTTTTTTTTTTTGTGGGGGAGACTCAAAATCTGAGAACATGTGTCCATTAAAATATAGAGGCTCCATGTTCTAGAGTGATAAGTGGTGCCTTTATAAGCACCCAATCAAGGATCTTTGAAGGGATTGCAATAGAACAAGAATAATGGTAAGCAACTCATTGCTTACTCAGTATGATTTCTTCTACATTGTGGGTACCAGAAATAGAGGATTGCTGATTTATATCTATAACAGGCCTTAGAGCTCATAAGACCCAACATTCTTATTTTATAGTTAAGGGAGCTGTGGCCCAGAAAGATGAAGCAATTTACTATCACATAAATAGTAAGTGGAAGAGCCAAGATTTAAACCCAGGTCTTCTGATTACAAATATTAGACTTTTTCCTAGAGCCATGTTGCTTCCTATATATATTTACCTGTTGTTTTTGTTCAGGCACTCAGTCATGACTGACTCTATGTGACAAAGTCCATTTGGTTTTCTTTTTTTTTTCTTTCTTATTTTATATTTTTCTTTTTTTATTTTATTTAAATAATTTTAATTAATTAATTTATTTTTAGTTTTCAACATTCACTTCCACAAGATTTTGAGTTCCAAATTTTCTCCCCATCTCGTCCCTCTCCCCACCCCAAGATGGCATGCATTCCAAATACCCCTTCTCCTTATCTGCCCTCCCTTATGTCCCCCCTCCCCTTCTCTTATCCCCTTCCCCTTCAATTTTTCTGTAGGGCAGGATAGATTTCTATATCCCATTTCCTGTATATCTTATTTCCCAGTTGCATGGGAAAACAATTTTTTTAACTTTTGTTTTTAAAACTTTGGGTTCCAAATTTTCTCCCTTCCTCCCTCCCCATCCACCCTCATTGAGAAGGCAAGCAACTCGATACAAGTGATACATGTGTAGTTATGCAAAACACTTCCATAGTAGTCATGTTGTGAAAAACTAAGTATATTTCCCTTAATCTTATCCTTCCCCCACCATTTATTCTATTCTCTTTTGACCCTGTCCCTCTTTAGAAGTGTTTTCTGATTACCCCCTCCCCCAATCTGGCCTCCCCTCTATCATCCTCCTGCTCTCTTGTCCCCTTCCCCCCTATTTTCCTGTAGGGTAAGATAGATTTCCCTACCCAATTGAGTGTGTATGTTATTCTCTTCTTAGGCCAAATTTGATGAAAATAAGATTAACTCATTCTCTCTCACCTTCCCCTACTTCCCCTCTGCTGTAAAAGCCTCTTCTTGTCTATTTTATATGAGATAATTTACCCCATTCTACGTCTCCCTTTCTCCTTCTCCTAGTATAATCCTCTCTCATGCCTTAATTTTATTCTTCAGATATCACCCTTCATCTTCAACTCACCCTGTGCCCTCTATCTATCTATCTATCTATCTATCTATCTATCTATCTATCTATCT